CCACCAGGTCACAGTGCCAGCCCTCAAATTTTTTTGCACCAAAATAAACTCATACTTAAATTTCCTTTTTCTGTCAACTTTTTAAAAGTCCCCTCATATGTGTAAAGAAAAGCAATTTAAAAAAAAAAAATCCCACACTCCACTGAAAAATTAGAACATTCTCAGAACCTTTCAAGTCCCAGGTGTCTCTCTCCAAATATATCCTTTATCCTCTGTCTCAAAGTTACTTGACTTGTATATTAACTGTTCCCTGCTTTCCTTGTTAATTTTTCCAGCTATGTATATATCTCTACAACATGTATTGCTTGCTTTTGTTCATTTTGAATTTTATTTACATGGCCTCAAATGTCTTCTTTTGTGACCAGCCTTCCTTACACAACATTATGTTTGTGAGATTCATCCCTGCGTAGTCTGTGGTTGCAGTCCATTCGTTTTCATTCTGTTTGTATCTTATTAAAAGAAAATATCCCTATTTAGCCACTCCGCTGTTGCCGGATGTGCAGTTGCTTTATGCTACTTTTATAATGCCGATATGAATATTTTTTTGTATGTCTTCTGGTGCACAGGAGTGGCAACAGAGGGTAGGATATACACGAGTTTGACTTTCATACCTAATACCAAACCGCTTTCCAAGAGTTTGTGCAAGCAAAAATGTTGAGTGCTTAAAGTCAACCAACATAGCACTATAGGCATATTTGCTTGTTTGCAGCTTTCTATATTTTTCAAAGTGTACAATTTGAAAACAAAAGAAAAGTTGTTTAAAATAGATATAAACTGGGGCAGCAGGTAGTATGATGGTTAAAGCACTGGATTCCCACATGGTGGGCCACAATTTGAATCCTGGATTCAGTGGCCTGAAAACCATGCTGGGCACACTGTGCATGCACGCCCAAAATCCTGAGAGGAGAATGGAAAAGAGATTGCAGTGTGGCCATAGCCCGAGGCGGGGGGGGGTGGTGGTAATTTCTCAACTTTCTCTCTCTCTCTGGTGAGCACACATGTCCTATGGCAAAAACATAAAAATGAAAGGTATAAATGAGTGTGTGTGTGAATGTGTGTGTGTGTCTACCAGAGAGAGAGCAAAGGTGAAAAGAGAACGAGTTAATAATCACATTTATCAAATCCTTAATAATAGATACTTGAAGTAAAAATTAGCCACAAGGTATTTATTATTCTAGCTGAATTAAAACCTATTGTCAGGGACCAATAGATGGCGTAGTCACTGGACTCCCACATAGTCTACCTTGGTTTAAGTCCTGGACTTGGTGGCTTAAAACTTACGCTGGGCACGTGTGTACGTATCTAAAATCCTGAGAGGAGAAGGGATTGTGACATGACTATTTCCTCTGGGAGGGATGATTTCTCACTTTCTGTCTCTGTCTCGTCAGTGAGCACATGTGTCCTATAGCAAAAATCTCTCAAAAAAAAAAAAAAACAACTAATGTCAAATGTTGTATCAGTTTATATTCCTACCATCAATGTACCATGACAACTTATTTTATACAGCACAAACATAGGCGCTGTTAAGAATGTGGCAAATCCATGGGGTGTCATGAAAATAATGTTTAAGATAAACCAGGTAAGCAAAAAGCTAATTGTGAAGCCAGCAGCTGGCGTGGCAGTTAAAGGCTCTGGATTCCCACACAGCCGACTGTAGTTTGAGTCCTGGGCCTGGCAACTTGCTTTCTAACTTTTCCTTTTTCTCTGTCTGTCTCTGTCTGGTCAAATTAAAAGTAATAATAACAGGGGGTGGCAGGTGGCATGGTGGTTAGGAGCACTGAACTCCCACATGGCCGACCGCAGTTCGAGTTCCAGATTCAGTGGCTTGCTTTCTTGCTCTCCCTCTCTCTCTCACTCTGTCCCTCTCTGGTCAAATAAATAAATGGATAAAAAAAAATAAGTTCAATAAAACAATTCTTTAAAAAATAATAACAAATGGAATTAAATAAATAATTCTTTTTAAAAAAGGTTAATGGTAAAAACAATACATACATACATGTGCATAATAACATTTTAAGGGTTTTATCACAGGGTACATGTACTCGTCAGAGAGACAGCGTTAGAGAAAGAGGGAAAGTTATAAATTGTCCCCTTCAGTGGATGGCCACACCACAATCCCCTCTCCTCCAGATTTTTGGGCATGCACACACATGTGCCTGGTGTAATTCTCAAGCCTTTGGGTCCAGGACTCAAACCACAGTCAGCTATATGGGACCCAGCACCTTAACCACCACACTACCTTGGCCTCATAGTAACATTTTGTTAAACTACTTTGTTTTGAAGAATTATTTTATTTAACTTTATTGATATATTTTAATTAGACAAGAGAGGGAGAGAGAGAAAGTGAGAAAGTAAGCCACCAGGTTCAGAACTTGAACCACAGTCGGCCATGTGGGAGTCCAGGGCCCTTAAACGTCATGCCACCTGCCGCCCCGATAATAACTTTTTAAAAGAAAAACATTCTGTTTTGATTATATAAAATTACACATACATAAATAATGCTGTTAGTGCACAGAAGAAGACTGAAGTACTGATATACTCCACACTGTCAGGAGTAAAGGTAGAATGGCTGAGAAATGGGGTCCATTTTTTTTTATTATGCAAAATTCGTTTTAATTTTTATCCTTTACTGTTTGATTCTATTATAAATAACTTATTATTTTTATAATTTGAAATGCAGTAAAGATAAAAATTGTGAGTAAGCTGGAAAACATAACATTTTAGTTTAAAGAACACTTTCGGGTTTTTTTTTAGTTTTATCATGTATGTATGTCCCTAAACAATGGATTGTTAGCTTTTATTTTTTAAGAGGAATTTTTGCTATAGGGCGCGTGTGCTTGCCAGAGAGACAGAGAGACAAAAAGCTACAAATCACTCCCAAGGAGGATGGCCACGCCACAGTCCCTTCTCCTCTATTCTCCTTTTGGGATCTTGGGCATGCACACACATGTGCCTGGTGTGAATTTTAAGCTGCCGGGTCCAGGACTTGAACCACAGTCGACTACATGGGAGTCCAGGCACCTATCCGTTATGCCATCTGCTGGTCCTACAGAGAGACAAAAAGCTACAAATCACTCCCAAGGAGGATGGCCACGCCACAGTCCCTTCTCCTCTATTCTCCTTTTGGGATCTTGGGCATGCACACACATGTGCCTGGTGTGAATTTTAAGCTGCCGGGTCCAGGACTTGAACCACAGTCGACTACATGGGAGTCCAGGCACCTATCCGTTATGCCATCTGCTGGTCCTGTTAGCTTTATTTATTTATTTATTTATTTATTTTGAGAGAGATTTTTGCTATAGGGCATGTGCGCTCACCAGACAGACAGAGAGAGACATAGAGACAGAAAGTGAGAAATCACCCCCCAGGGGGGATGGTCATGCCACAATCCCTTCTCCATTCTCCTCTGGGGATCTTGGGCATGCACACACACGCACCCGGTGTGAGTTCTAAGCCACCGGGTCCAGGACGCGAACCGCGGTCGACTACGTGGGAGTCCAGTAACATAGCCATTACGCTAACTGCTGGTTCCCGCGTTAGCTTTATTTTTAAACTTTACATAAAAAGGAACCTTTCTAAAAAAATAAAGGCAAATAATCCAATTTTAAAGTCTATCTCATACTATGGACAGAATAACTTCTACAAAGACTATTTCAACTACAGTTCTGAAAACTGAACAGAGAAATTGTTTAAGGTTTCTAAATCTTTGGGTTTTATAATGAGTGATGCAAAGTAGGGAATAGATGCTATTTCATGTTCAGAAAAGTTTAAAAGAATAAAAACTATCATAAGCTACATGGGTAACATTGAAAATACATTTTAATGGAACGTAAATGACCAACTTACATCTATTGGCAGTGATTCATCTTCCTTTTCTGTTAATCGCATATAAGAACGATCTATAAACCAGAAGCATACCATTAAGGAGATTATAGCCCATTTTTCTTTCTTAAAATGCAAACAAATCAATATACCAAAGATGTGACTGATTTATATATTACATAAAGCAATGCTAATCCCGGATTTCTCAAAAACCTCTGTCATCTAAAGCAATCAGCCTTACCTTAATAAGTATTTTATTTTCATCATGACCTGCTTTATCACCTTATAAAACAGAGGAAGAGTGATAGGCAAGCAAGTATGAGGCAGAAAAACCTAAGCAAGAATTTTCTCACCAACAAACTAGTATTCTCTGCAACTTTTTCTTTCACTAAATGATCAAAGAAATCAGAATTATTTTAAAATTAATAAATCTACTGAAAATCTCAACTTTGAAATAACACCATCATCACACTGTATGGACCAAGTAATACTGATATGGAAATGTTTTTCAGGAGAGAATACACTGGGGCAGTGGTGAAATAGGAATTCCAGGACATCTATTTCTGTATCTATTATTTCATTATAATTCTGCTGGTGCCTTAACTTCAGGAAGCAACAAGGGATAAAGGGAAAAGATCAGAATTTTCAGAAGATGATAAGCCTGGATCGTAGTGACAGCTCTTCAGTTTACTGTGATGTACTGTATCTCATTCAATTTAAGATACCCTCAGTGACTCTTAACATTTATCTCATTTCTAAGTGTTGAATGTAGGAGTAGAACTGGAGAGTGCCTTGGAATCAAAGAACTCAATATCTTTTCCTTTTTTTTTTTTGGAGAGGTTTTTGCTATAGGGTGTGTAGGCTCACCAGAAAGACAGAGACAGAGAGATAAAAAGTGAGAAATCACCCCCCACGGGGGGGGGGGGGGTTTGAGATGGCCACACTGCAATCCCTTCTCCTCCATTCTTTTCTCGGGATCCTGACACACACGCACATGCGCCCAGCGTGAGTTTAAGCCACCAGGTCTGTGACTCAAACCGTGGTCGACTACATGGGAGCCCAGTGATATAGTCATTATGCCAACCGCTGGTCCCAGAAACTCAATATCTTTTCACTGCCTGAGTTTCTGCAGCCTTCAAATGGGAATAATATGAGGAATTCAACCAGATACAGTACGTGATCAGTGTGTTGTAACAAAGTTCACTGTGGCAAAGATGAGCATGCCACAGCACCAGAGCATGCTATCACACACCACAATCTGACATGACACAATTAGTCTCAAAGGTAGATAGGAGTCTTTTCCCAACATGAGCATTATAAAGCGGTCCGGCTGCAGCGCTGCAGCGACACATCCATGGGCATTCTCATTACTTAAAATGAAACATAAAAATGCAAAATCCTAATTCTAGATGGACCTAGGACAATCCCTATTTAATAATGTACTCTGAACTGAAAGACCCAAATTGTTTTGAGTGAACATAAACTGACTTTTTCTTAAAAGAGAATGGCTTGAGAGACATTTCTGGAAGTTTAAAGGGTTTATCATAAGGACAGGTGTAAAAAAAAAAAATCAAACCAATGCCAAAACCAGATTTTTTTACTAACCTCCTACAGTCTGTTCAATTCCCAGCTAAATTTTTGGTTTGCCTGAAGCCTAGTCTGACTGTAACACTACCTTTAACCAGGCATTGCCTCATCTGTAGAATGAAGAAGCTGGACTTCAGTGATCTTCAAGGACTCTCTTTGCTCTATGAGTGCATACTTTTATAGCTGAAGCTTATAGAAGAAAAATGGCACACTACTCCTGTGTATCCTAATCTCCTCCAGGACACTGCTTCTCAAACTAATGTGCACACAAATCGCCTGGGGATCTTATTAAAACCCAAGTTCTGACTCAACAGATCTGGGATGGGGCCTGGGTGTCTTCTAACAAGCTCCCAGGTGATGCCGGTGATGCTGGTCTGTTGACCACACTTTGAGCAGTGTGGATCTCGGATACTTTCTTTAACCCCTCCCGCTCTCCCCAAAACGCCAGCCCCTTCCTCGATGCATCCTTATATAATTTCGGCATAGCCTTTAGATCACTTTGTGGGTATTTCTCGATCCACTTGTTTCTCCACTAGACTTTGAACTCCCTCAGGGCATCAAAGTGCCTCTGCTACGAAAGCACAGCGCAATTTCAACCAATGACCCAAGACAAAATTTTATAGTGCTGTGTAGCACATATCTTTTGCCCAAGGTCACACAGGTTTAGCGGTAATACAAGTTTTCTATTCGGCCCTTCAGACTCCCAGTCCAGTGCTCTTTCTCCTGTACCACAGTGCCTCCCTGGGGCAATGGTTCGTTTAACTTCTCAGTCTCTGCTATGACAGCCCAGGAATACCCAAGATGTTGTCACACCTACTTGTCGTGGGACCATGACCATCTGGATTCCTCAATCCCACACTTTGCCCGATCTGCCCCAAGCTGGACCTGACATCACTTGTCTTGGATTCCCGGACAGACTCCCGCTCTGACCCCTCTCCCAGACATCTCCTTCCAACCTTTCTACAACCCCAGGTGCCTCAATCTTCTCAAACTCAAACCCTTCCACGGGGGAGCCCCGAACTTTTGATCACCCCAAA